TGGCCTTGAACTCACAGAGATCTGCCTGCCTCTGCCTCCCAAGTGCTGGGATTAAAAGCGTGTGCCACCACGCCTGGCTGAAAGACAACTTTTTAAAAAACATTTTCAAATTTTTTTACTTAATGTGTATGAGTGTTTTGCCTGCATGTATCACGTGTGCAGTACCCAGAGGCCAGAGAGGGCATTGGAACCCCTGGAACTGGAGTTATGGATGGTTTTAGTTGTGGGTGCTGGGAACCCAACCCTGTCCTCTGCAAGAGCAGCCAGTGCTCTTAACTGCCCAGTCATCTCTGCAGTACCTAGAAAGCCACCTTCTGAATAACAAGCATGTGGAGAAAGATGGGAAACAGAGGTGAAAAGTTTAGCAAAACAATCGAACATTAAGATCAGAGTGGCTCACAATTCTCAAAAGTATTACTAGAAGTTCAGGGACAATGGGGCAAACGTGAAACTTTGAAGGAACAATTACGTCTAATCAAAAAATTCTAAAGTGGGCTAAAGAGGTGACTCAATGCTTAAGAGCACTTGCTATTCTTCCAGAGAACCCATATGGTGGCTAACAACCAGGACAATCATCCATAATTCCAGTTCCAGGGGATTTGATACCCTCTTCTGGCCTCCACATGAGGCAAAAACAGTCATACACATATTATTTTTGGTCTTTTTGAGACAGGGTCTCCCTGTAACCCCAGCAGGCCTGGAACTCACTATGTAGACCAGGCTGTCCTTGATCTCTCAGGCCTGCCTCTGCCTCCTGAGTGCCGAGATTACAGGCCTGCATCACCACGCCCAGCCATAAAATAATTGAAAAAAAATTCTAGGGGGTTGAAGAGATGGCTCAGTAGTGAAGAGCACCGGCTGATCTTGCTGTGGACCAGGGTTTGAGTTCCAGCATCCACATGGTGGCTAACAACCATCTGTAACTCCAGTTCCAGGGGATCTGACCCCCTCTTCTGACCTCCATGGGCAGTGCACGACCAATGAGTACACTTACCTATATGCAGGCATTACATTCATACACTAAAATAACATCCTCTTAAGTAGCAACTAATAAACAATGTGAAGTGAAAACTAAATGGAAATCTAATTGTGTTGATTAGAGGATAGAGGCATGACAGATGTAGAGTTTCCCTCTGGTAAGGAAGCCACCTGTGGGGTTGCATTCCTTAAGGCCCTTTCTCTAGCCCCTGCCCCCTGCCTGGGACGGTAACAGAAACATGGAAGATCAACACACTAGAGCTCAGCTTAATTCCTGCCTGGGAGGGTTACTTAGCAAGACCCTGCTTCAAAACCAAAAGCCATAGAAGAATTTGGAAAGTTGGTAGCCAGAGAGAGGCCACTTAAGGGCTGGCGTGCAGAGCCTATACGGGATTTAATTAGTCCTCAGAGTCAGGTCAGAGACTCCTGATGCTGGGTCTTCCTTTGTCTCTGGGGCTGTCCTTCCCTCCTGTGTTCACGTATGGCTCCTGCTGCTTCCCAGCCACCAGTCTGTCGCTCTAGATGCAGTGGGAAAAGAACGGATCCAGAGCAAAGAGCTTCCAGACCACTGCAAAGCCAGTGCATTTGTGAAGAGCCGGGCTGGGGTAGGTAGGGGAGTAAAACCTGGGATCCAACAGGAAGGCAACGAGAGGGGCGGGGCCAGCGAGCAGCCTTGAAATAAGGCTCAGGCAGAGCTGTTGCTTTCAGGTTTCCTGTTGCACCAGACTTGGGGGGAGTCTCCTGCAACATGGCCACTTCCAAGAGGTTTCAGACGCTTCAGCAGCTTCAGCAGGAGGAAGGGACTGTATTCCAGGTGGTGGGAGACCTCAGCAAGCTGCCCAAGTGGTTCCACACCGAGTATCTGAGGGGTCCGAAAGCACTTCACCTGGATGCTTGGCTGGTGGAAGCGATATTTGGTGAGTGGCCAGGAATGAAGGGAGCGCGGTTTCCTCTCCTGACTGCTGCATACACCTTCACCGTGGGCGTAGGTCCTTGGCCTCTAAGCCTGTGTCACCCCGCTCCCTGCTGCCCCAGCTCCTCACCTTCCGTGCCAGGTCGAGGAAGCCACCCGACCTTGTGTCCTCCTCCCTGCTCCCTACACAGGCCAGGATGGAGAGCACATCCCACACGTGGAGTGTGTGACGCACACCCTGCTGCACGTGAATCAGTGGGACCCTGAAGGCGAAGCTGAGATCCTTATATTTGGGCCGCCTTATTACCAACAGGATGTATCCAGCATGATCTTGAGACTGGCTGACCATTGCCACAAGCACCTGCCACTAAGTACGGGATGGGACTAGGGAGGGTCCCAGGAAATCCCTGATCCTAGGGAGGGATCCTCCTGAGAAAGGCTTTGGGTTTTAGAAGGGATCTAGAAAGTCAAATAGCCCAGTGTTGGGAGATCCTTGGCCCCTGCAGCTAACAGAGGTCACTCTACCCCTGTGGCGCGGTGTGCTGTCACAGGCAGGACTCCTCACCCAGCGGTTCTTCCAGAGCCAGCACAGGAGACCCAGTGTTCTCCGGTTGAGGTCTCTGAGGCTGCCACTCAGCCAGCTCCTGTGGAGGTCTTTGAAGCTGCCACCCAGCACATTCCTGTGGAGGTCCGGGAGGCCTCTACCCAGCATTCTCTCATGGAGGTCCAAGAAGCTTCCACCCAGCATTCTCCCCTGGAGATCCTAGAGGCCTCTACCCAGCAGGCTCCAGTGGAGGTCCATGAGGCTGCCACGCAGCAGCCTCAGGTGGAGGTTAGTGAGGCCTCCACCCAGCAGGCTTCCAAGAGGGTTGGTGAGGTCTCCACCCAGAAGACTCCCATGAAGGTTGGTGAGCCTTCTACTCAGCAGGTTCCTGAGAAGGTCGGTAAGGCCTCCATCCAGCAGGTTCCTGTGGAGGTCAGTGACACTGCCACCCAACTGTATCCTGTGGGTGTCCAGGAGGCTTCTACCCAGCAGTATTCTATCCAGGTCCTTGAGGTCCTGACTCAGCAGTGTCCCAATGTTGTCTTCTAGGCCACATCCCAGAAGTTTCTAGAGGTTGTTCTTGAGGCGGGGACCCAGAATTCTCCAGTGAAGGTTTATGAGACTGGAACCCAGGAGTCTTTGGACATGGTCCAGAATGCCAGAACTCAGCCTCCAGGGCCTGCCTGGGAACCAGTTACCAGGTTATGAAGACATCTCTGACCCAGGAGTGAGAGGCAGGCTGAATGTGGTGGTGGTACACATCTGTAATCCTAGCACCTGAAGGAGGGTCCCCAGCTCCAGGCTAGCCTGGCCTGAATAGGGAGACCTGGTCCTTAACCCCTGTCTGTTTTGTTTTCAGTGCAAGTCTCCAGAAATACAGTTTAATTTATGCCCTATTACTTGGGGGAAAGAATGGAGTAGGCTGATTTTGTTTTTCCTTGCAAACACAGATTGAAAATATTCTAATAAAGAATTGCATTTCCCCAAAGGTCTGTTAATTGTAAAATAGGAAGGGAACAACACGTTACACCGTTGCCCAAGTGCTGCTGCTAGAGTCCCAGGTGGGTGGGACTCTGGATTGCTAGTCCTCACTCCCAAGCCCTCACACTTGCACCCCCAGGATCAGGTGGTTCTCTTGTGTGCCTTAACCCAGTACATCTGGTTTTTCCATTGAGAGCCCTTTGTAGGGCCACTAAGTCGTCTTTAGAAAACCTTTGCAAGAGCCTGGTATGGTGGCACACTTTAGTTCCAGCACTCAGGAAAAGACAGGCAGAGCTCAGATGGATGCCAACTGTGGCTACAAGGAGACCCTGTATCAAAGAGATTGGGGCTCAAAACCTACTTGCAACTATCCTAGTGGCTGGGCACAACTGCGTTTGAAAGGTTTTGGTTGTCTTGCAGTTGCCACCAGTCACTTACCAACTGGGGCCAGTGTCCCCTGGGGAGGGTGGGATGCACCGTGCTCTGCTGAAAGTCTTGCCCCTTCACCTGAGTTTCTGTGAACTTTGAGAGCAATGTGGGTGAGTCTTCTCAGAGAAGCCTGAGAGGCAGCTGGGTGCCGATTGGCTTCCTCCTCCCAGTGCCTGTGGTTTAGCTCCTGCACATTCATCTGCAAGTTTGCACAGCAACGTCGAGGTGCTAGGATTAAGCACACAGCTGCCAGTAATTGTGATGATGGTGAAGAGGTTGCTGCTCTTCCAGAGGACCAGAGTTGTTTCCAGCATCCACCTCAGGTGGCTCACAATCACATAATTCCAGCTCTAAGGGATCACCATGGCCTCCAGGGGCACTACACTCACATGTACTCCCCAGACACACACAAATAAAACCTAAAAACTTTTTTTTTTTTTGGTCTTTGAGACAGGGTTTCCCTGTAGCCCCATCTAGCCTGGAACACGCTAGCTATGTCAGACCAGGCTGGCCTTGGACTCAAGAGATACACCTGCCTTTGCCTCCCTAGTGCTGGGATTAAAGGCGTGCACCACCACACCTGGTTCTAAAATGACTTTTAAAGGTTATGTGTGTGCGTGCCTTCATGTAGGTAAGTGTACCACTGCATACAGTGCCTGAGGAGGCCAGGTCACGGGATGCCCTGGACCTGACGTTTCGGGTCCTCTGGTTCCTCCCACCGAGTCATCTCTGCAGCCCCTGGAAATGTTTTATTAAATATTTATTGAGCACCTTTGAGGAATGACGTGCTAGTAGTCTCAGATCAGCAGATCCAGGATGGTTACGAACTCGGAGCCGGCGACAATGGGAAAGGTAACCCTTGGCTCTGCACTGCAGCCTGGGTTGGCGCGGTCCTGGCCCGGACGCTTGCTGACCGGGTTGGAACACCGGCTTTCTATGGATGTGCCGGGCTCCTCATCCTGCAAGGCCGCTCAAACACCACCTTGTCCATCACCTAACATCGACAGCCCACAGGCTGTCCTGCGGTTGGTTGGGCTATCCTGCTCTCCTTCCTCCACACCTCACTCCGTACACCGACCCCATGCAGCCGCAGCCGAGCTGCATACACCTGCAGGTCCGCGTGGGAACGCGGCAGTGCGGAGACCCGTCGCCCGCAAAGCGCACACTCGCCGTTAGCTGCCTGAAGTGCGGAACGCAGAGCGCCCCGGAGGGTGAGCCCAGCGGAAGTAGGTGGCGCTGGGCTGCAATGGAGCGCACGGCGTCTGCGCTTGCGAAGAAGGCGGCGCTTTTGAGCATGCATTAGCCCGAGGCTCAGCGTGCTGGGAAAGCTTTAAGACTCCTTAACCCGGAAGAGGCGAGTTAGCGATTACGTCCGGCTGCGGTTACGTCACTTCCCGTTCCCCTCAGGCTCGCCATTTGGCAGGTGGGTCTCACGCGGGTTCAACATGCGGATTGAGAAGTGTTATTTCTGTTCCGGTCCTATCTACCCCGGCCACGGCATGATGTTCGTCCGCAACGACTGCAAGGTGAGCTCGGGTGTGGGATGGGCCTGGGCGGAGACAGGGACGGGGGTGTGGACTGAGATGGGGACCTGGGGACGGGCCTGGGTGGGGACGCAGATGGTGGGGCCAGGGTGAGCACGGAGTTGGGGACCGGACCAAGCACCAAGCTGCCCGGGGCCCTGCAGTCGAATGACCCTGCCACCCACGGGAGAACAGGGATCCAACGGCTTTTGCCACTCTTGTACACGGGCCCCTTCTTTTTAATTTTTTTGTTTTTGAGAATTTCTTACCTGAGTATTGTCTTTGCATTATTTCTAGCCCTCCCAGTCTCCCACCAACTCCACCCATGTCCCCCCATTCCGTCTCTAATTCTTGTTCTCTTTAATTATTATTTCATATGCATACATTTATAAACGTACATACACACACACACACACATATATATATATATAATACACTGAGCCCATTTCGTGGTGCTCATATGTACCTCACAGGCCCATTCTTTTTTAAAATTCATTTTATGTAAGTGAGTGCCCTTCCTGCGTGTATGTAAGTGTTTTTATGTCTTGAGTACCTGTGGCATCAGAAGAGGGCCTCAGATCCTTTGGTACTGGAGTTATGGACTGGTTAGCTGCCATGTGGGTGCTGGGAATCAAATCCAGTTCCCTGGAAGAGCATCCGGCCGTTAACTGTTGAGCCATCTCTCCATTGTCCTTATTACTTTTTAAAATTTTTATTTTTTTATTTTATGTGTTTGAGGTTTCGCTTGCATGTATGTAAGTGCACCCTTGTCATGCAATGCCGGCAGAGACCAGAAGAGAGCATCAGATCCCCTGGAACTGTAGTTAAGGACAGTTGTTAGCCTCTGTGGGTGCTGGAAACCCAGCCCAGTCCTCTGCAAGAGCAGCCAGTGCTTTTAGCCACTTCTTCAGTCCCACAGGCCCATTCTTGAATCCTGTAAACTTTGTTGAACGTATGCTCAGTCATTATGCTGAAGTCTGTGTGCTCAGGGACAGGAAAGAGGTGAGATTGTAGACTGTGGACATGTTGACTGCTGCTCAATAGAGTTGTGCATTGTTAGAGGTGAGTTGGGGAGAGCCTCAGGGTGCAGGGTCTTCTGGACATTGGGTCCCTGTCGCGAGCCGGGACTCTGTCCAGCAGAGTCCAGGAAAGACGACACAGACACCAAGGTGAGGTTCAAGCTTCTGTTTCTCTTTCTCCTTTATTCTCTCGTATTCTCTTCACTATGATGCTGGCTCACTATGATGCTGGTAGCCGGTGAGTTGGCCATCTGGCTGACTCAGCTGTGCTCGCTTCCCACAGGTCCCTGGCTGCCTTGCCCACTAAGTGAGATCGGATTAGATCATCAGAGCAAAGTCTTCTTCAGTCCAACAGGGGGGCAGGCTAAACTTGCGCAGGACTAGATCACAGTTCTTGTCACCTCCAGTTCTCAGTTTCAGGAAGTCTTGGGGAACCCCTCATGGGAACATCGTGTCCTCCCCCTTGAGTTCCAAGTTCCATATTTCGAATTTTGCATATGTGGGGAGAGAGCTTTCTAGGTAGAAGAGTAAAGAGTTTGAATAAAGATACAAAATGGAGAAGTTGCATCTCTGAAGGGACTGAATCATAAATGATGACTTGGTAAATGTTAATATGGTAAGCCTGTAAAAGCATAAATTAGACAGGGGAGGCACAGTTGTGACAGGCTTTGTTAGTGCTACATGAATTTCCCTCTTAGCTTAAAGTGAATCCCATTCCTCTCATTCTGGGAATGAGACCTCCTATCTCTGCTGCTGAATGACTGGGCATTAAATACACAGGATTCTGGTCTCTGTGAGCTCCTTTTCGGATAGGGGTGGTGATATCTAGAAATCCATATTGAACAGGTGTTTTTGACATGCTAAAGAATTTTCATCAGCTTGTTTCTCTTACATTCCAAAGGTGCAGACTCTTGTAGCAAGGGACTCTGGAGAAAGTGAGGAACCAAATCCAAGTTTGGGAACTTAAAGCTTGTAGAAGATTTTGGATATTTGCATTCAGGAATATAGGAATTTATAGACAAACCAAAAGATTGCCAGGTTGGGGTCTAATTCACAGCTGGCAATGTGGTTTTCTACATTTGGACATGATTCTGTGATTTAAAAAAAATTATTTTTATGTGTATGAGTGTACTGCCTGCATGTATGTATGTATGTATGTGTGTGCACCTGTGTTGTGCAGTGCCCATGGAGGTCAGCAGAGGGGGTTGGATCTCCTGGAACTGGAGTTATGTATGATTGTTAACTACTGAATGGGTGCTGGGGACTGAACCTGAGTCCTCTTAACCTCTGAGCCATCTCTCCAGCCCTGATTTTTTTTTTTTTTTTGGCCAGCATTTCTGTATGTTGGAATTTTTTTGAACTATTATTATTATTATTATTATTATTATTATTATTTGCAACAGGGTTTTCCTGTAGCCCCAGCTGGCCTGGGACTTGGTATGTAGACTAGGCTGGCCTGGATCTCATAGCGATCTGCCTGCTTCTGCCTCATGAATACTAGGGCTAAAGGTGTGGGCCACCATACCTGGCTCTATACTTATTTTTAATCATTTGTTATGTGCATGTGTCTGTGTGTGAGTTTGTACGTGTGAATGTAGTTGCCCATGGGGCCTAGAGGGATTGGGTCCCTGTGGAGCTGGAATTACAGGTGGTTGTGAGCCACCTGTGGTTGTGGGTATTGGGAGTCAAATTCCAGTTCTCAGCAAGAGCAGCAAATGCTATTAACCACTGAGCCATTTCTTCACCCTGGATGTTGGAATTATAACAACAGGTCACAGGAGCTGTCTAGAGCTGGGTGTTGTTTTGCTAGACACAGAACATTCAAGTCAATGAAGATATCTATATTGGTGTCCAGGACAGTCAAGTTGCCTAGGACTCAGCTTGGGATAAGGAATATGACTGGATGTAGAACAGGGTTGATGAGAGGGGAAATTAGGAGGTAGAGGCTCGGAAGCACTAGCAGAAAAGGTGTATCACCCTTTCTATAGTGATGAGACCTGTCGCCTCAGTTCCATGTTTGAGGTTTACATTGGGTGGGGGAAGTTCTGCTTGTACCTAAAGGTAGACTACCTAACAGTGGACCTATGGAAGAAGTCCTTATTACCTCAGTCTTTTGCTTTCTGAATTCATACCACCTTGTGTGCTTGGAGAGTTTTGTTAGAAATGTGGAGTTACCTTTGAATAGTTCACCCTTGTTTTTTGGTTACTGTTCTGAGACAGTACCAAGCTGTACCCCAAGCTGGCCTCAACTTGCTGTGTAGTGGAGTATGGCCTTGAATTTCTGATCCTCCTGACACTGTCTTGAGTGCGGGGTCACAGGACCTGTAACCGTGCCAGGACTGCCTCCTTTCCCTTCTGTCTCTTCTCCAGTCCTGTCTCTGTGCTTTTCTATTTGAGACTGGGGATTCTGCCCTCCCACTGGTCTCAGCTTTTCTTCTCTTAGTCCAGCACTGTCATATCTGTCGTGGCTACCTCTTCTCTTACTTAAGGGTAGATTTAGTGCGGAGTGCTCAATAGTTTCATCTACTTTGCAAACAAAAAATATATACAACCTTAGTATGGGCTTAACAGGTACTGAATTAGTAGAATAAGTTTGGAGGACCTTGAGGCCAAGGCATTGGGTGGATTATTTATTGGTCTGCTCTAAGACTGAAGATGACCGGGTGCTAGATTTTGAATTTTTTTAAATGAGTGCATATTAATTATACATAATTATGGGTTTCATTGTGGCATTTTCATGCGTGTGTATAATGTACTTTGGTCACATTGGGCCCCCATCACTCTTGTCCCCCTCCTCCTGTGGATCCCTTTTTTCCCAGATAGCCCCCCTTCTGCTTTCACTGTGTGTGTGTGTGTGTGTGTGTGTGTGAGAGAGAGAGAGAGAGAGTTTAACTAGAGTTACTTACATGAGCATGGGTGAGCGGTTTTTTACAGGAGCATACCACTTACTGGTCCATTCCACTGAAGAAAACGTCTCTTCCCCAGCATCTCTTGGCTACCCATAACTCCTCATTAGAGGAGTGGCACTTTGTGAGCCATCTGAGAGGGGACTGAACTGAGCCTATAAAACTGCCCCATGCAGGGGCTGGAGAGATGGCTCAATGGCTAAGAGCACTGGCTGCTCTTGCAAAGGACCCGGGTTCCATTCCCAATACCACATGGCAGGTAACAGCCGTCCAGTTTCAGGGGAATTCAACGCCCTCTTCTGACCTCTGTAGGCATTGCACAACATGGGTGCACTTAAACACATGCAGGCAATATACTCATACACAAAAAATGAAAAATAATAAAATATTTTTATTAAAAAAAAAAAAGGCTATACATGGTGATACATGCCCTTAGTCCCAGCACTCAGAAGCAGAGATAGGTGGATTTCTGTGAGATTGAGACCAGACTGGTGTATGTAGCAAGTTCCAGGCCAACTGGGGCTACAGGGAGATCCTGTCTCAAAAAATAAATAAACAAAAACTGCCCCATATATCAGCTAGATCAGTTCAAACCTATCATCAGCTCGTTCTTAGGAATGACGATTTGCTCAAAGTGTTATCTAGTAGATATTACATTTTTTTCTTTAAAAAGCTAGTAGTTATTGAAAATAAATTTAGTGATGAGTTCTTAGTGGGTTACTCTAGGAAACTACAGTGGTTCTCATACTTTTTAATTGATTTGGGATTAATATCTCTTAGGTGAGGACTTTCCAGGAGATTTGGGTTTCAATTAGATTAAGCTGGTGTTGACAGTTTCTGCGAAGATTGCCTTGTTATTTATAGTGATCTGCTTGCAGGTCATAGAATAAACACATAAAGTGGAAAGAATAATGATTTGTGCTATATGTGCTTGATGTGCTTACACTGTTCCTTTGAGGGCCACACATTCTAGTTAAAATTGTTTTTTCTGAGATCCATTAACTTCAAAGAAATACTTTGCTTATTTTCTTTAATCACACAAACTGCAACCTTTTCTAAGATATTACAAGGTGACAAAATAATGCAGTTTAGACTTGAGAGTCTTAGTCATTCATTTTGAGAACATATTGAAGCATTAGTAAGTTGTTGTAAGTTGCCCCTTCTTTGTGATGAAGATGGCCATTTATAGTGAAGACTCTAACTAGTGGAGCTCTGAGTGTGACCTTTAGAAGACGAATCTAGAGCCTAGTCTGGTAGCACCTGTCTGTAATCCAAGCACTTAGAAGGCCAAGGCAGGATTGTGAGTCCCAGGCCAGCCTGGATTACATAGTAAGACCTTTTCTCAAAATAATAGCAAAAAGCAAATTCACTGTAGAACTCATTTAATAGTTATGGTAGAAAAAACATTGAAAAAGGAAAGGAAAGAAAAATCAATTATCAATGTCTTTTGCTTTCAGCAAGACTCAAAGGAGATTTCAGAATGGTTTGAAACTTAACCCTCACTGGGTGCATAGAAAAGTGATTTGAGGGGGCTGGAGAGATGGCTCAGTGGATAAGAGCACTGACTGACTGCTCTTGCAGAGGACCTGGGTTTGAGTCCCAGCACCCACATGACAGCTACGAACCTTCCTTAACTCCAGTTCCAGGGCGAATCCGAAGCCCTCTTCTGACCTCCGCAGCATTGCACAACACGGGTGCACTCACATACATGCAGGCGATACACTTGTACACATAAAATAAAAATAATAAAATATTTTTTAAAAAAATGATTTGAGAATTATAAATTGAGAAGGGATTTTTTTAGAACTGTTCCTTTACTCAAGGTCCTTGGAAGGTTTTATTCTTTAGAATAGTATTGTGATTTTTGCTTATGTTTTCAGGGTTCCCACCCAGCCTTTAGTCAGGGTGATAATTGCCAGCCTCTAAGCACTTTGAGTTTCTGTTTGTTCTGATATCTGACATGCTTTGAGGTTACTAGTAAGGGGATTGTGACTGAGAACCATTGTCATTTCTCAGATGTCACAGTGTTTTGTTGTTGCAGGGGCTTATATCCTGTGATAGAAAAATGCCCATGTTGACTTCATTATTTTAATTTACTTTTGTTACAGGTGTTCAGATTCTGTAAATCCAAATGTCATAAAAACTTTAAAAAGAAGCGTAACCCTCGCAAGGTCAGGTGGACCAAAGCCTTCCGGAAAGCAGCTGGTAAAGAGCTCACTGTGGTAAGTAATAGTGGTCCTCGAGGAGCATGGGACCATGTCGTATGGTTGTGAGTGTTTTGTTCTATTTGGCTGTGGGAAACCTCATTCTCATGTCATCCTAAGTCCATCCTCCTATAGACTTCTGAAAAGGGAAAAAAATTCCCACACCAGTTTGTAGAAGTGCTTTTTCTTATCTCTACAAATTTGTTTTTGGCTTTTCAGACAAAAGGGAGAAATCATGTAAATGGGTTGTGTGAAGTGGGAAATTGCTACTGTAGGATTTGGGAGGAAGTTGAGAGATTAGTTAGTGGATTCCTGAGCAGTGTTGAGGTCTATACTAGACATTGTTGGTTTTTGCATTTCCTTAGGTCATTCTTTGGGGCTAGTCCCATGGTAGAGGAGTTTTCCCTTTCTGTGTCCAAGGGCTGAGGGCATTCTTTGGGGCTAGCTGCTTTGGCCATATTGTACTGATACATGGATCTGTTGAAACTTGTCCGCATTTGATCCCTGTCAAGAGAGAAGATGAAAGCTGTGATTGTTCTTTGCTGGAGGAATATCTTTAAGTTGCCCCATCCCTCCATGGCTGCCCCTTCCTCTAAACCCAGGACTTCCTCCTCTCTGCTGCCTGTAGGCAGTATCTGTAAGCCTTTCCTGGTTTCCCTAATACCAGAGCTTTCCAATGAATGTAACAATATGATTGGGTAGAATGCGAGGCCAAGTTCCTACTGTCACAAAACTAATTTTCACTGTGGACAGGAAGCGGCATGGCTCCACTGATGCACAGGTGCAGAGGGATGCATTGCTGGGACTTGGCTCCTAGCTTCCTATAACTGCTGAGGTTTTCCCATCTGAACAAAGTCATGTATTGATAAATGATAAACCAAGTAGCCAATATGGAGTCACTCACTGTTCCATATGTCTATGTAGCTACATTTGAGAACCAAGGAATAGCTATTCACAGTTGATTTGCATGTCTTAAGATTAATGATTGTATGGGGGTTGGGGAGACAGCATTGGCTGCTATTGCAGAGGACCTGGGTTCGATTCCCAGCACCCACATGGTGGCTAACAACCATCCTAACTGAGTGAGGATGTCCAGGGATCTTACGTCCTCTTCTGACCACTGTGGACATTGCACAACACAGGTGCACTTACATACTTGCAGGCAATACACTCATACACATTAAAAAAAAAAAAGAAACAAAATTTCTTTTGCACCTAGTTTGGGAGGAAAATTATCCATTTGACTGGAGTTTACACTGACTTTAGGTGTCTGCTCAAATCCCATCATCGTTGAAATGCCTGCCCTAGCCGCTCTGTGTAAAAGTCAGTGTCTTGAAGCTGGAGAGAAGGCTCAGTGGTTAAGAGCATTGGGTGCTCTTGCAGAGGACCCAGGTTTGAGTCCCAGCACCTGCATGACAGCTAACAACTGTCTATAACTTCAGTTCCAGGAGATCCGACGCCCTCTTCTGCCCTCTTCGGGCCCTGCATGACACAGGTGCACCGACCTACATGCAAGCAATGCACTCATACACATAAAAATAATAAATAAAGACTGGGTGTGGTGGTGCACGCCTTTAATCCCAGCACTCGGGAGGCAGAGGCAGGTGGATCTCTGTGAGTTCGAGGTCAGCCTGGTCTACATAGTGAGTTCCAGGACAGCTGGGGCTACAGGGAGACCCTGTCTCAAAAAGAACAACAACAACAAAAAAATTAAAATTTTTTAATAAAAAAGATTAATGATTATTAACTGTCAAAGTACCACAGGTAGTGTTGACATCTGGAGACCCTGAAGAGATGCAGGGTAAAGGTTGTGTCCTGCACTGTACAGTCTCACACCTGCCATAGCAGACCCCCAGATTGAAACCATATGAAATTCTTGGTGTTTGACTTTCAATCTGCGAAAATGATTCAGTACAGTATGAAGGATCTGGCTGTGGTTCTCATTTAGAGGTGGGAAACTGGGGAAGACTTTTCAGTCTGCTTTAATGCTCGTGATTGTCAGATGGCTCTCTGAAGGAGGGGGTGATGCTCCCTCCCTTTGAGAGTCACCTGTACAAAGATGTGTTTTCAGTAGGCTGTCATGAAGTTGTGTAAAGGAGAAAAAGATTGAAAACTGGTATTTGGGGGGCAGTATAGAGAGGGATCTTAATCTGCATTTCCTTAGACTGTGCAAAGGAGAATAATTTAAGAAATGATTCCTTTCTACCTTTGTAATCAACTCTGTTCCTTCTTATAGGATAACTCATTTGAATTTGAAAAGCGCAGAAATGAACCTGTGAAATACCAGCGAGAGCTATGGAATAAAACTAGTAAGTTACTGGGTGGGGGTGGGGGATGGTAGAATATTGAGGTGAGACTAGTTTGGGGTATTGTTCTAAGTTTAAATGTCAGTTTGTTTTTTAAATATTAACCATTCTGGGGCCTGGAGAGATGGCTCACTTGTTAAGAGCACTGGCTGCTCTTGCAGAGGACCTGGGTTCAGTTCCCAGCACTCACATGGCAGCTAACTGTAACTTCAGTTCCAGGGGATCTGATGCCCTCTTCTGGCCTCCATGGGCATTGTACAAAATGGGTGCGCTTATATACATTCAGGCAATACACTCAAACATAAAATAAAAATAAATAAGAAATTAAAAAGAACTCTGCTATTTCATTGCAAGTTGTCCCAAATTCTTTTCAGAATTGATTGGTATATCCATTGCAAAAATAATGTAATTATTAAATTTGAAGTGCCCACACAGAGATATAAAAACAAAAAAATCTGAAAGAAAATAATAAGATTTTTTTTTGGAGTGAGGTGAGGCCTTGTTAAGACTATGCCCAAAGCTTAGTACACTGAGCCAGGCTGGGCCTTACACTTTAAAATGAAAAAACAGCACTTAACAATGTTCGTTGAAGATTTTATAAGAGAACTTATAAGTGCTTGACTCAGGTAAATAGAAAAATTATACTGGTGAAATAAGAGCAGGAAGTCTAGCCTTGGTCTTTTTGCCTCTGAAGGAGGCAGGGACTTTAATTGAGGGGGAAAAAAGTTCTGTGTGTGGTAAAACTTCCTTGATTGATTGACGGATGGTTGGATTTTTGTTGTTGTTTTGAGAGAGAGGCTCTTGCTGTGAAGCAGTGGCTGACCTTGAACTCAGAACCTTAGCATCCCTGATGCTGGTATGATAGCCACTGTGCCTGGCTGTGTGAACTTTCAGGTTGCACTGTTTAGTGTGTGACAGGCCCATTGCTCTGCCTTCTCTTCCTCCTTGGCTGTCTTAATGCAGCCTTAGCTGGCTGTAGTATTGGGTGTGGGGTTCATGTCCTAAAGGTATCACGTTCTACAAGTTGAATTACTCCCAGTGGATCATGAACAGCCCCTTTAACACATCTTCCCAGTGAGTCAGACTCCAGGGAAAGAAGCAGGAAAGCTGTGAACTCCTGTACGTCAACCTCAAGCTTTGCCTGCCTTCCCAGACTTTCCCATATCAAAGTCAAGTCAGAATAGTCTAGACCCAAGTATTCTTTCTCCTCCTTTTCTTTCCTATTTAATTAATTAGTTTACTTTAAAAATATCCCTTCTGTGCTGGGCGCTGTGGCGCATGCCTTTAGTCCCAGCACCCAGGAGGCAGAGGCAGACAGATCTCTTTGAATTCAAGGCCAGCCTGGTCTACATAGTGAGTTTCAGGCCGCAGCTGGGGCTACAGGGAGACCTTGTCTCAAAAAAATAGCCCTTTTGTTTTGTAAACAGAGGAAGAGTTAATTTCTGTAAAGCAGTTGATTTTATTGGGGTAAGTTGGTGAGGCAGTAACACTGACCCTTAAGGATTTCTGAGGTTTATCTAGAAATTGATTTCTCTTCATACAATTCTCAAATTGATGCCTAAATGAACTCTTAGGTCTAGAACCCAGGCCTTGTGCATGCCCACAAGCACTGTACCACTGACCTGTGTTCCTGGCCTCACTTTCACTTGTATATTTTGTCTACTGCTTGAACTCCAGGTTATTTTTAGAGTTTTTATAATAATTAGGCCTCTTGTTAATCATCCGTGGATGTTCAGCCACTCTGTGCTTTCATAGTGGTGTTTCTGTAGTATCTGATTTAGCTGGTGTACATAGTGAGTTCCTGGTCAGCTGGGGCTTCAGGGAGACCATTTCAAACAAACGAAAAACAGCCGGGTGTGGTGGCGCACGCTTTTAATCCCAGCACTCGGGAGGCAGAGGCAGGTGGATCTTTGTGAGTTCGAGGCCAGCCTGGTCTGCATAGTGAGTTCCAAGACAGCTGGGGCTATAGGGAGACCCTGTCTCAAAAAGACAAAAAAAAAGCAAAAAACAAAACAAAAAAAAACCCAAAATGAACGAAAGACAAAGAAGCAGTGCTCTCTTGATACCTTCCCTGTAAGATTCTGCTAGTCTTTTTTATTGAATCCTAAAAATAGACTTTTGAAAAGTCTATTATGGTTAAGAGCCTTGCTGCTCTTCTGGAGCCCGTGAGTTCATTCCCAGAACTCATGTCAGGTGGCTTACAGCTGCCTGCAACTCCAGCTCCAGGGGATCCATTGCCTCTCCTTGCCTGGAGACATATCACCAGCACACATATCACACACAGACATGCACACACACACACAAATAAGGTAAAAACAAATTTTAAAATAAAAAAGTAGTGTTGCCCTCTTAATGCAGTAGGCATCATGCCAGTCTCATAAAAAGTAGTGATTATAGCTAGCAGTACAGCTCACACCTTTAGTGTTTTCACTAGAGATTTTTTTTTTTTTTTTGGTCCTTTTTTTTTGTTTTGTTTTGTTTTGGGGACAGTTTCCCTGTGGCCCCAGCTGGCCTGGAACCCACCATGTAGACCAGGCAAGCCTTGAACTCACAGAGATCCACCTGCCTTTGCCTCCCAAGTGCTGGGATTAAAAGTGTGTGTACCACGCCTGGCTCAGTAGAGATTTTTTTTTTGGTCTTTTTGAGACAGGGTCTCCCTGTAGCCCTAGCTGTCCTGGAACTCACTATGTAGACCAGGCTGGCCTTGAATTCACAGAGATCACCTGCCTCTGCCTCCCGAGCACTGGGATTAAAGGCATGTGCCACCACACCCGGCAGTAGAGATTATTTTTGCAATGGATTTTTTTCTTTTAAATTTATTAAAATCAGGTTCATAAAGAAATGTTTGTTGAAGTAGTTGCTGATTATAGTTGTACTGCTTGAATGTGTGAATTTGTTAATTTAGATTTTTTTTTGTAGTTGATGCAATGAAGAGAGTTGAAGAGATCAAGCAGAAACGCCAAGCTAAATTCATCATGAACAGGTATGTGTGACTGTAGAGCAGCGTCCCAAAGAGTAATTTCGAGATTTCCAGGGGCTAGTAGTTTCTAAAACCCATTTATTTATTATAATTTATTTATTTGAGACAGAGTCTCACTATGCTGCAGTGACTGACCTGGAACTCACTATGTAGATCAAGCTGGCCTTGAACTCAGCCATTTGCTTGCCTCTGCCTCCCAAAGGGGAGTTCTGGAATTAAAGATTACTTTAACACTATCACTGTGTGCAGTGTGAGTTGAAGATATGCTCCTCTTAGTGTAGTTTCTAAACCAGGCAGTGACATTGAAGCTTGTGTCTTTTGTTTTTAGCATCCTTAAGGGAGTCTTGTCTCAATCGGTTAACAGTGTGAAGCTGTCTCAAGTAAGGCAGGGCTGTCCCTTCTCCAACTTTAGACTCTTTCCTCTGTTCATGTGTTTATATCACATCTTTCAACATTTTTGAGACAGGGTCTCTCTAGCCCCAGCTGGCCTGGATTTGCCATGGAGACCAGGCACAGAGATCCGCCTACCTCTGCCTCTCGAATGCTGGGATTAAAGATGTGTCCCAGCCACCATGCCTGACAGCGGGCAGCCATTCTTATTGTCATGATTTATCTATGTTCTGAGTGGCCCACATTGACCCTAGGGAGTCCCTTCTGGCAGCCTTCCATTTCATTTTGAGGAGTCATTTGTATTCTTTGAGTTCTTTGTTGTTTCATGGATAGCAAGAACTTCAAGGATCATATACGTTCCCTGCCCCAGCCAGGAATTAGCTTCTTCAGAGCAGGAAAATTAGTTTTTATTTATTCATTAAATGTTTTTTTTACATTTATTTGTGTATGTGCTGTATGTAGTGTGTGGGGAGGTCAGAGGACAACTTGGACCATCTCTCCTTCCGCTATGTGGTCCAGGGCATTGAGCTCAGGTAGTTAGACTTGGCAGCAAGTGCCTTTACTGGTTGAGCCATCTCACTGGCAAAAAGTAGCTTTTAATCTAACCACAGTGGAAATGTGTCATAGTAAAGAAGCCTGCTCCAGCAACTTTTTGGCTTGGAACAATGCAAAGGGAGGTGGGCCCGAGTGCCTGAGGATTGTGTTACCCTTTCTATGAACATGCTGGGTGTATCATGCTCTTATCATTACTGAATGATTTTAAAAAGTTATATAGCACAGAGATAGTGTTACTTTAGGAGAAAAGACTTAAGACTTTGCCAATTAGAGATGTTTTATGTAATAGAGCATTGTGTGTCTATAATAGAATTGGTTTCTGAGATCTGTTAATTCTTTAATCAAATCCTTCGTTCTGCCAGCAAACATATTGAGCCCCCATTTTGTGCTAGACTAGTACCCTGGATGCAGTGAATGAGCATGTGGGAACTCTAAAAGCTGGCATTGAGTTGTTGGGGAAGAAAATGTCTATTGTAAGGACTCAGCAAGTAACTTTACCCTGAATTTGTGAATAATATAAGGCGGAGGGCAATGGTCAACGCTTTCTGGTGGGAATATTTTGCGAAGCAGTAGATGGTTTGTTTACTGGGTACTGCTGTTCTGGGGTGAGAGGAGGTGGGAAGAACAGATCATCCAGTTCCTGTGTGCGGTGGTGAGCCTCATTAACAAGATGTGGGGGCTACAGTGTGCTAATGGCTCTTTGAGAGGGTTTAAGAACTGAAGTTTTGGCTTTGGTGTATTTTATCCTAGATTGAAGAAAAATAAAGAGCTACAGAAAGTTCAGGACATCAAAGAGGTCAAGCAAAACATCCATCTCATCCGGGCCCCTCTTGCAGGTGAGTGCTGTGCCGCACGGAGTTCTCTGTGTTGACAGAGAGAATCTGGAGTTTTTGTGGTTTGTGTCATAGGGTACCAGCTACCTTTCTAAAGGTCTTTTTCTCTTAAATGTTGTCTCATTGTGCATTCATGATATGGCCTGGTCATAAAAGTACAGTTAACTTGGTATCTTCCCACTTGTTGTCCGTCTGCTGCTCACTGTGCTCTTTGCCCGCTTCATAAAATCCCCCTTACGCAGTCTGTCTTCGAGGTGACTGAAATGATCTGTGTAATAATTTCATGGGTGATGTTTGCCCCACTTGTTTTGATTAAAGACATATTTTATATTAGTGGTTCACAAACTGGTTTGTATTAGAATTATTTGGTGAACTTAGTGTAAGTACAGAAGCCCAGGCACCTTCTGTGGCTCTCCAGTGAACCTCATACTACACTCGAGGGGTGCTTTTTGTATAAAGCCTTTTTGTTATTTTTTAACTTACCGGTAGTCACTTATTTGTGCAGCTCTTCATGTGTGCAGTCTGTGATGTGCTAGAAAACCAGTCTTTAATTCAGCTGGCATTATTTACAGTCTTGTATTTAATTTATTTTTATGCAGATTTCTCAAAAGGAGGGAGAGAAGTTTTGATTAAATCTTAGTCAAGGTCAGGCTGTGTAACCACATGCTGATTGGCTTTGAGTGAAGGGACAGCCTAGGTTATGTTTGTTCCAAGTTCTGTTACAGCAGAATAGCCCTGTCTTGGAGTATTTGTTGGAAATGGAAGTGATGCAGACCCACTGGAAAGCAGCAGGAATGAACTGTTGTTGCCTTTGTGGCCCTCTTCAGTCGGGTGGAGGTGTTGAAAGACATGTACCCTGGCCAGATGGCTGAGCGGCATGTCCTAGCTCTGGATCAAAAGTAGCTGAGGCTCCCATCCCAGCTTGAGCTAATGGTACCAGCTGGGTGATGAAGGGAAGTGAGTCTGGTGATGTTTAGTTAGTGTTAAGTTTCTTAGGCATGGTTAGTACTGTGAAACAATCAAGGTGCTTCATAAAGCACTGATACAAGGCTACATTAAATTATGATGTGTTTTATGTTTTCTTTTTAAAGGTAAAGGAAAGCAGCTGGAGGAAAAAATGGTGCAGCAGTTACAGGAGGATGTGGACATGGAGGATGCTTCCTAAGCTCACTGCCTGTAACCACCTCTGTGTACACTGGAAATCTCTAGAGACTCACAATCCCTAAGTTACTGATTTGTTACATAAGGTTGTTCAGGGGAAGGTAATTAAAAGCTTCTCTCTGACATCGCTGTCTGTAAAGCAGAGACCATACATTGTATTGCATTGTTGAGAGTTAGGCTCACATAAACGTGAGATTCCAAGTGTAGACGAACAAGTCAATTGTGGACATACTGTGGTCATGCTGTACTATTACAAAATGCTATAGGGAGAGCGGGGGGGCTTACTTATCATTAAGCCAATTCATGGCTGGCTAGACATTTTCTTTGCAATAGAATAGTCTGTATTTGGATTATTGAGGCAGGAGCCGCAAGAAACCATCAGCTCACATAAGGACCTCAGAATCTTTTTTGAGACAGGGTCTTACTATGTAGCCCTAGCTGGTCTGGAACTCGTTATGGACCAGGCTGGCCTCAAACTCCCAGAGATCTGCCTGCCTCTGCCTCCCGAGTACTGGGGAGAAAGGCCTACGCCACCATGCCCTGCAGTATCTGTAGTATTTCTGTTTATTAGTTTCTTCGGGGAAGCATAATGGTTGCATCTATTGAAGCTGACCCTGCTGATAGGTAGCTGTGGATGTCGGGAGATGAGAGTTCATAAATTTTACCTGAACAGCACCTTGTTATTTCTGTTTTGGAGAATTCTTAGTTTCTAATTATGATTTCTGGCAGAACAGACTCCCTTCTTCCCCAAGCCTAGCAATGATCTAGAAGCAGAAGAATCTTGGTGCCTTTTAAAATTTATTGTTTTGGGAAAATAGAACTTATGGAGCATTGTCTATTATTTGTACATAAAATAAAAACATATCTAAATAGATGCCTGTGCGTTTGTTATTTAAAGGTGATAAACAAGGTGTAAAGTATCTACTTAGAACTTCCATATATACTGCTTAAATATAAGATACAGTTAAAGAGAAATGCTTGCTTATACTTCATGGTAATATATTTTTGCATTTATGGCTTTATGTTAAGAATGATAAGTTTGCTTATTGGTTATATGGGGCAAAATTTAAAATAAGTTATAAATCCTTAGGGTTATATTATTATGAAATAATGACTAATCTTTATTAAACATTTATTTGTGTGTATGTCTGGTTATGTGCACCATGCATGTGGAAGTCAGAGAACAACTTGTAGGAGTCAGTTCTCTTCCTCTCAAGTTGTCAGACTTGTTGGCAACTATGTAGACCAGGCTGGCCTCAGTCTCACAGAGATCTGCCTACCTTGGCCTCTGTGAGACTGAGGTGTGCACCACCACACTTGGCTCTAAAGATTTTATTTTTAAGTGTGTGTGTGTGTGTGTGTATGTATGTGTATACCATGTATGTTCAGGTGCCCTTGGAGGTCAGAAGGGGGCATCAGATAAACTGGAGCTGGAGTTAGAGGCAGTTGTGAACACCTGGTGTGGGTGGGGCAATCCAAGCTCTGTTCCTCTACAAGAGCAGTATGCTCTTAGCAACTGAGCATCTCTCCATCCCCCCAAATAATTTCTTAATGATAAACCCTAAGAAGGCATGTACCCTGTAGATGGGCATCTGAGAGAGAGAGAGAGAGAGAGAGAGAGAGAGAGAGAGAGAGAGAGAGAGACTCATGAAGTAGTATTTTCCCTTTACAGATGTGAAGATGGGGGTCTGTGGAACTTGCCCTTTACCACACAGAGGATGGAATGGGTAGGGTCTGTCTTCACAAGATCTGCAGCTGTAGAAGGGGTTTATCTAGAGGCGATGTCTGGTTTAAGATTTTATATATATATATATATATTATATTTATATTATATATATAAATATATATTTTGTGTGTGTGTGTGCGTGCGCGTGTGCACATGAGTGTTGTGTGAGTATAGTGCCTGAAGGAGGGTGTCAGAGCTCCTGGAGCTGGAGTTTCAAGTGGTTGTCCTTTTCCAGTCCTTTGAAGGAGGAGAAAGTGCTCAGTAAATATTGCAAAATGAGTGTATAGCCATGAATGAGGTTTGCCTCAGTCTGTTTTAATTTGAAAGATACAAGGAATAGATTAATAGATTAGTATGGCGATGCTAACAATCCATACTAAGCAGCGTGCCTGGGACTGCCTTGCATCTGCACTGTTGGAAGCTCGTGCAGAGTGCTTGTGGCCTTGGGTTGCATGCCTGGTTTTGCTGCTTGGACCATTGCCTTGTCTGGCCAGGTCATTCAAGGCTGGCTGGATTTTTTAAAAATCTTTTTGTTATTTGTTTTTTTTTTTTATATTTTGGTTTACATTTTTATTTATTTTTTGCTTTTTAAAGTTCTATTTCTCAATGACTGGACTCTTAAGCAATCCCAGGAAACACGTGTGGTTTAGAGCAGGTTTCTTAGCAGCTCTCTGGAACTTGATTTGTTTGGGGAGGATCTGCTAAGATATTTGTTGATAGAATAGCTTCTTCATAAGAACTAATTGGGGAGGAAATGCTAATATATAAAGAAGACTGCTTCAGAGGAGCAGTGACTAAGCAGAAAGCACTGGTGTTCTGAGAAACTTGAGAAACAGCCAGCCTTGAAAAGACTTATGCTGTCTGCAGACCCTAGGAGGTATGCATAATACTCAACTTCTGATAGGCATGACCTGGGAGGCAGCTCATCGTTATGTTGAAAACTTAATTGAAAATTCATTCAATACACCTATCAAATACCTATTGCTTGGCAGCAGGCTGCACAGTAAATATTAACTGTTTACTTGAGAGTTGGTTCTTTCCACATGTGGGTCCTGGGGCTTGAACTCCAGTCATCAGGCTTGGTGGCAGGTGCCTTTACCCACTGAGCTATCTTGCTGGAGCTTGGCTAACTTGGATCACATGGTGAACTTGTAGCTGCTTCCCAGCATCCCAAAGAATTATTGAACTGCAAATCACTGGTCTAGATAAAGATCAAAATACAAAGTGGATCAAAACCGTATGTTCTGTTTGATGTTGAGTCATGGATTCTTAAGAGGAATGCCAGTGAGAAGTAGGTCATTCCAGTCCGTGAGTCACCCTGGAACTACTTCATTCTGCTCTTGATTTTATCACTTTGAGGAATGCAGTAGAGGCAGCAAACATGTATTAAAGACAGTCCACCTGACTAAAAGGCGCCACCATCCTAAAGCAGATAGTGCTATAGAGTACTTGTTCACAGTGGGTTAAACTACAGAATCCTATATTGAATGCCCATTGGGTGTTTCAGTATCCCTTGATTTTTTCTTTTAAGATTTATTTTAAATTATGTGTATGTGTATGTCGGGGGTATGTTTATGTGAGTGCAGGTAGAGGCCACATTCCCTGAGAGTGGAGTTATGGGCAGTTGTGAGCTGCCTGATAGAGGTGTCAGGAACGGAACTCGGGTCCTCTGCAAGCACAGTACATGCTCTTAACTGAGTCTTCTCTCCAGCCCCCCATCTCTTGATTCTTCATGCTGTCAAAACACCAGGGCTGGTAGATCTCTAACTTGGTGGAGACACAGTTTCTCCATTTGTAGATGGTACACAGAATCACCAGAAGGTACATTAGGATATACAATAGAAACAAAGTTGTATGGGGAAAAATACACAGGCCACAGCCTCACTGCCTTATTTGGGAACAGGATGCAGTGCCTGCTAGACCCACAGCTGAGAGAATCTAATTGGGATCATTATACTGGGTGTGCCAGGGTCAGGTACATGGCGAATACTACTTTCTAATGTTGACAGCCCCACTCGTTTTGTCTTCTCCATTTTGCAGGTGAGGATCATGAGGGAAGAAAAACAGTACCTTGCTAAAAGATTAATTTTTTTGCGTTTTGTGTGTGTGTGTGTGTGTGTGTGTGTGTGTGTGTGTCTGTATGTCTGTATGTGTACACCTGAATTCAGGTGCACCTGCAGAGGCCAGAAGATGTTGGATCCCCTGGAGCTGGAGTTACAGGCAATTGTGTTATCCATTGTGGGTGCTCGGAACCAAACTCAGGTCCTCTGCAAGAGCAGCAAGTGGTCTTTTCTTTTATATTTATTTTTAGTTTTTGAAAGTGGTCTTTGAAAAAAAAAAAAACATTTTTATTTTCTCTGAGAATTTCTTTTTTTAAATTTGTATTGCCTACATGTATGTAAATGCACTCGTGTCCTGCAATGCCTATGGAGGTCAGAAGAGGGCCTCAGATTCCCTGATTCTCCTGGAACTGGAGTTTTGGATGGTTGTTAGCCACCATGTGGGTACTAGGAATCTAATCTGGGTCCTCTGCAAGAGCAGCCAGTGCTCTTAACTGCTGAGACATCTCTCCAGCCCCCTTTGAGAATTTCATATAATGCATTTTTCTGATTGAATTTAAGTCCTGCTCCACAGGAGGAAACATGCCTGGTACTGCAGATCTGACCAAGAACCCATGGTTGGGGAACTCACCGCAAGTGTTCATAACCACTGAGCCATCTCTCCAGCATCCCCACCCCCGCAACCTGGAGAAATAGTCCTTTGATCTGACGACTATGGCACTTGGCTTTGTTCTCTGTCTACTTTAATCACTAGCGTTGCATGCTAAACAGCATCTAGCACAGTACCTGGGTGTGTAGCTGGTGTTCTTTGTATGTCAAGGGAAAAAAAATCTATCGGAAAGAAAATGGGAGGTTTTGGAGTAGTTTAATTTTTCTTGGGATGAAAGCACATACTTAATAGTTCTAGGAATGACAGGTGGTCATTCATGACAGAGTATTTGAGGCAGCAAATTCGGTGAAATGAAGGCTTTTTACAGTTAGTACAATGGTGCCACTGATTACTCTATAATTACTAGAGGATTTATTTACATTTAGCCCCAAGATGCATGCTAATCCTCTGATCTGGAGAATAATTTGAAATTTTCTTAACACCTGCTTTCATTTATGAGTGATTTCAGCATTTATTAATTAGACTTAAAGATGTTTATTAGTTCTGCTGTGTGTGCGGTGTGTGCCTCATTTAGTAACAGAAGGACTGGCTCGTGTTTTATTAGAAACACAAATCCTGGAAAGTATTCTAGCTGTAGTTCATGTCTTATGTTTAAGCCTAACAGCTATTTATTGCATTTGTGCCAGTCCTTAAATTCTCCCGCATTGTCTTGATTACTGCCAACAAGGG